CCCGTTAGCTTGTTAATTTTTAACTTCCAGGCAGAACCATGAATCAACTTTACAAAGTACTCAAATTCAGTTGCTACACCAAAAATCATAATTTCAACATCCAAACAGAATCATGAATCATAACAAAACTCATACAATATGCACTTAAGTCATTTTCAAAAGAAAAATGCTCAAACTAAATAACATATATTTCATCAGATCCAATAAACAAATCCATACCATGTAAATTAAAATAGCTACATGAATCCAACAAACAAATCATGATGCTTGTAGTAAGTATAACTCTCCCAAAAATCTTTTAATATATTCATATATACAATCTAACATGTTGAGATGTTGGTTCCTCCTATATAAGAAATAAAATAAAATTTCTATTAAAATATAATCGAATATAATTAAGTTATAAACAATTGCAATTGATTAAATTTACATCATTTGTTTTTTCTTCAAGACATACTTACTCTATTTTATTTTATTTAAAATAAATAGTATAATATAAGCTGGCCTGTGGGCTTATAGGCCCAGCCTTTTGAAAGTGGGCTTTATTAAACAGGCTTTTTTAAGGTCCAAACCCGGCTTATTATACAAAATATACTAGATCAGATCTGACTTGATATAGGCCGAGCCGTAGGTCCCTGTAAGCCAGCCTGACCAGTTTCACCCCTAGTGAAAGCCATGGCAAAATGAGTTGGTTGTTAACCTGCTTAATTTGGTGAACTGGGTTATATTTTATAACCTGCCAATCCATATAATCTGCTCGCTTAAAAGGTGAATTAAAGTGGACATGATGCGGGTCAATCCAACGGATTGAATTTTTTATATTTAATTGAATAATTTGGATAAAATATCACATATTGCTTTTACCATAGCTCACTCAATTTTCCTTTCTTGACTTTTTTATTTTATTTTTTTATTATAGGCAGGTTACTAACTTATTATTGTTACAGGATTGGTTGAGATTTTCAACCAATTTCCAAAATTGGAAGCAGAACAAATTAACCCACTTTATAACTAGGGGCAGCTGGGTGAGTGCGACCATAGAAGCGACAATTGAATTAGGTTATAAAAAAACGTTATATCTATTTTGTGTTTTATTGAAGGAAAATAATTATTTCATGTTGTATGAGATGATTATGCAATAGAGACAAAATAGTAAGTTTCATTATTATTATTATTATTTTTTAAAAAAATAATGGACTCCACTATCTTATCTCAGATAATTATCTCATGAACATGAAATAAATAGATCCCTTTATTTAATGGAAAATGATATTGTGACAACCAAGTTGTGTTACTACCAAGTGATTATCAATCAATCTCATCGTTAGATCGATTATGTTGATTCAACGGTTATATTTATTTTCATCTTTGTATGGTCATGATTCCCCATATTTAAAGTGAAAGCATTAAATATGAAAAATCATAACCATACAAAGGTGAAAATAAATATAAAGTATTAAATTTGGGGAATCATGACCATACAAAGATGGAAATAAATATAATCGTTGGATCAATATAATCGATCTAACGGTAAGATTGATTGGTAGTCACTTAGTAAAAATACAACTTGGTTGTCACAATATCCTTCTCCTTATTTAATTGCATATTTATGTGATTCCGCTAACAAAAGTAATAAATTAGAAAAATATGGTTTAATTTTGACACTTGTTATTCCTATTTTCATGTAACTTGAGAGGCTAAAAGGCGTATGCTTTTTCTATTTTGGAGAATAAACTTCTTTTAAACAAATATTTTCTAAAATAAACAAATAAAAGATATATTCTTTTAAATTTTGGTGAATTAAGATTATCATATACTTTAAATTAAATTAAAAATAAATACAAACCCTAAACATTCCTCATTATTTTCAAGCTGAAGTGCTTTTATATTGGGCCATGTGGCATGTAGGTGTGCCTTAGTAAATATGAGCGATGTAGTTCGGCTTTGAAAGTTGAACCACGAGTTATATTGGGCCTTCATATGCATGTTTAAGAAAATGTAAGTCATGTAGGTTGGAACTACAAGTTATATTAATTGGGCCTTCAGTGTCATCTATTGCCGAGGATTAAACTTCAAGAAAAGCATCCATTCTGTGAAAAACCAAGAACCTGCACACACAAGGTTCTTAGTCTTTTAACTCTGCTTTATGCCTTTCAGAAGGAAAAAAAAAAAAAGCTTACCTACAATAATAATGAATCCATCAATTTTCATGAACAAATCATTAAAACTAACTTTTGTTGGGATTACATGTGATTCAAGTTACCATTACTTGGTTAATGCATCAACAGAATCCCGATTGTTGTAGAGTAAAGTAAGCTATTGAAGGTCAATGTTAGTTTAGTATAACATGACATTGGCCTAATTAAGAATCATGGTTCAAAACTTTCAATTATGAACTAAACCCACTTGACCAACTAGATTTCTATGTAGACTAACAAAATGTGAATATTCTAATGAACAAACTATTTTTGGTTATGAAGCACATGTCACATAGGATACAAGAAACCAAACTAAGATGTTAGACCCAAAACAAATTGACAAATCACATCACACAATTGGTGAATAATTAATTAATTAATTAATTATTTGATTAATCATTTGCCATTGATAACTTTTTCTAAAAAAAATTGGTTTAGCTTATTTAAAATTGGGTTTGGTGTTTGTCATTTTAAATGACATAAGTTATGTCATTTTAGGAGAGAGATAGACACAAAAAATGGAAATCATGGGAGAGAGAAAGTGAGTGATTTTTTTTAATTTAAAATTTAAATAAAAAAATTTATTTTGTGTCTATCTCTCTTGAAATGACATAACTTTATGTCATTTAAAATGACAAACACTTTTCCCTTTAAAATTTATCTACAATAATATCAAGACTTCTCTACAATAATATCCTATGATGCACCGACACCGACACGGGACACGACACGACACGCCGACACGTTAATTCTAAAAAATATCATATTTCGACACGTTTTGATATTAAATAAAATTTTAATATATATAATATAATTTATATTTGATACAAATAAGAGTCCATAATAAGTCATATAACCAATCACATATTTAAATTTTATAACATAAATATAAATAAAAATAATTTTTCGTACTTTGTTAATTTTTCATGTCAAATTTCATAACAGAAAAAAATTAATTTATATTTTTTTTATATTTATTTAATAAAATAAAATTAAGATTAAAAAAAAAAGTGTCGAAACATTGATCGTGTGTCAGAAAAAGTTGACTGCATGTCAAAAAAAAGTGTCGAAACGAGTTGGAGAGTTGACGACAGATAATATCTATCACATTGCCATGGAGGTTTGGGAGTTGGAACCCAACATGTGTCATCCAACCGTAAGAGCTGTGTCAGCACCAGCAGTGGAACACGTGGCATGCAGTTATCATATCCACGTGTCAAGTATGGACGACAGGACCAATTTCTTAAGACCAATCAAAACCTCAGAGGACACTTTGCATGCCCACTTTAAAAAAGATTTAAGAATGGCACTCAATTGAACCAGCAGAATTGGATGGAAAGGGTCCCACATTAATATCCTGGTCACCCACGCTTACCCTTCAACATAACCCACTCACTGCCCTTCAAAATTCAATCCCATATAAATGCTCACTAAACTCATTTGTATACCGTAGTTACCTAATTTAAGAGTTCAACTTTAACTAAAAAAATGTTGACTGAAACGAGGTTATTTTATGATGGAAAATGTTATAATTTTAATTTATTTTAGGACTATAATAACTTTTATATTATAATTTTTTAATTTTTCAATTCAAAATAATATTATTTCAGTAAATATTAGATAAAATTATTTAAAGTAACATTAAATATGTTTTTTTTCGATATTAAATTGCTGTAAGTTTTTGTCATAAAGTCCTGGTACAGGCCGAGCATCTAACCTTCAGCCAAGTTTTTTATTTTTTTTTAATTTAATCAGAATCACTCACATATCTCAATTCCACTCTCATCCAAAGGTTACTGGTCTAATAGCAAATTTCTTTGTCATAATGAATTGACATTATTATTAATTTTCAAAAGAATTATCGGTTTTCACAATTTGAATTTATTCAATAATTACTCTTAAATTCATCCGTTTTCACATTATTATTAATTTTTAATTTATTCCATATTAAATTATGTATCTTGTTAGTACATCTTTTTAAAAAAATGTAAATGTCATAACAATTGTCTAAGAACTCTTTTTTTTTTTTTTCATTTATAAGGAATCTAACGGTGTTGGAAACTTATATGTAAAAATAGACAGAAAAAAAAAAAATAGGTAGAATAATCTATTTCCCTGTAAACATGTGATAATAACATTTTTTTTTGTTGACTCAATAATAACTAGATGACATGACAGCAAAAAGAAAGTGTTAATCAGATACCGGTAATGGATCAGAATTAACTTTATAATTTATTAATATTAATATCTTTTGCATAACTGTTAATTTGGTGTAGGAGTCATAAATGCCGTATTCATTTACCTAAGGACAGAGATAACTTCTGTGCAAAAATTAGAAATTGTTTGAATGTGACCCCAAAATTTTTTAACTAATTTTCTACGGGTACTCACAAACTCTCACATGTGCAACACTGTGTGCAGCCATCTCAGTGGTGTGTTACTTTATTTTATTTTTCTTAGTCCATAAAGATGGAGAATAGTCTGTACTAAGAGAAAGAAAACCAACAAATTCTTGTGCCCATTTTTTTTGTTGTAATCAGCAACCCCACCACATGGTGTATTAATTTGTAATTGTTTAATGCAAGGAGCAACATGAAAGCTCAAATCCTTTTTGGGAGTGGGAGGTGTGAGGTGGGTCTTGCAGAGTTTCAGTAATCATGCCTACCTTTTCCTTCACTTGCTCTCATCAATTCTGGCCTCAACACACCACAGCACTGCAAACCCACCTCCCAAAATCATCAAAGATTAGTTCTAAAAGTGAAAAAAGAAAACTTGGTGTTGTTGTTGTTTCTTCCTCCACTCATGAAGAAGCTTTTCCCTTTCCTTCTTCTCCTTGTTGTTCTCTTGTTCAATTATGGCTTTTGTGATTCTAGTGTTGGTATTGGTTACCAACTCATGATGGCAGTTCCTATGGGGTATGACATGGATTTCACAGGGAGAGCTTTTCTTGTGCAGACCAATCAGACAACACCAAATTTTAGAGTAGCATTGAGCATTGAAGCCATGAATGGGAAATACTCATGCTCATTGCAAGTTTTTCTTGGGGATGTTAAGGTGTGGGATTCTGGCCATTACTCCAGGTTTTATACCACTGAGAAATGCTTGCTAGAGCTCACAAATGATGGAGATTTAAGGCTGAAAGGTCCAAAAGAGCTTGTGGGATGGAAGACTGGGACTTCTGGACAAGGTGTGAAGGTAAAAACTATGCAGCAGCACATGATGTTACCTTTTGTTATGCATAGCTATAGTCAATGGAAAATGATACTTATACAAACTATCATTTCATATATAACCCTCACAAAATAAATAAATAAATGGCACAGAGTATTTTTACAACGATTCAAAATTATTGTAGATTAGAGTATGATTATTCTTATATTTCGTCCCACCTTGTCAATTAAGCTGCATTGCATAGGGTCTAATACATGATTTGTTGCATTGACTCAATTTGAAGCAGAGATTGCAGATATTGAGCACGGGAAATTTAGTGCTTGTTGATGCACTGAACCATATAAAATGGCAGAGTTTCAATTTTCCAACGGATGTAATGCTCTGGGGCCAGCAACTTGATGTGGCAACTCGCTTGACATCATCCCAAAGGAACTCAAGCTTGTTCTACTCTTTTGAAATTGAGAACAACAAGGTTGCTCTGTACTTGAACTCTGGTAAGTTGAGGTATTCTTACTGGGAATTTCAGCCTTCCATGAATAGAAGTATTACATATGTTAAGCTGAGTTCAAGAGGGTTGGTGTTGTTTGATGTCAAATACAAGAAAATTGCACAGATTCTATCGCAGGGGATTTACCCTCTAAGATTTTTAGCACTGAAGAATGAAACAGGAAACTTTGGTCTCTATTACTATTCACCTGAGAAAGCAAAGTTTGAGGCCTCTTTTCAAGCACTTAACAGCACATGTGATCTTCCAATTGCTTGTAGACCTTATGGAATATGTACATTCTCCAATACCTGCTCGTGTATTCAGCTTTTGACAAATGAAAACAAGGGTAGTGCTGATTGCAGTGGGGAAATTCCTGGTGGATTTTGCAGTGGTAAACAGGCAGAAATGCTAGAACTAGATAATGTAAGTAGTGTGCTCAAGGATGTTCCTAAAAGGGTCAATATTAGCCAAGAAGCATGTGAAAATTTATGCTTACAAGACTGTAAATGTGCTGCTGCTTTATATTTCAGGAATGCAAGCACAAAGGTGGAAGAATGCTACCTTTATAGACTAGTCCTTGGTCTCAAACAGGTAGATAAAGGCACAGGATTTAGTTATATGGTTAAGGTTCCAAAGGGAACTGTTAGGAATCATAAGCAGCATAATATTAAAAGTTGGGTATTGGTTGTGGTGGGAGTGGTTGATGGACTCATAATTATCCTTCTTGTTGGAGGGTTTGGATACTGGTTGATCAAAAAGAGAAGCCATACCTTGCATTCTCACGCCAGCACTTCATGAGCAGATGAGCAAAGCCAAGTCCAGGTTTAATTTTGAATTCATCTGTGAAAAAAAATAGAGAAATCATTTATTTAAACATGTAAACACAATTTTGGTTGATTTTGAGAGAATCACATTCATAGAGTATCCAAGTAACTGAAAATTCTTGTTGAAGACAAAATGCTGCATATTTGCAATATATACAAAATTTACTATTCAATGATGGAAACAGAAATGTGAACTTTTTAAAACGTCAATCTCCAAAGTATACATGTTTGGTTTCTTCATAATAGTGGATTTTCTTGTGAATCATTTAACTGGTTACTTTTTACAAGTGCACCTTGCAAGGTTGCTCTAAATTATATTGGTGTTTCTCATAACAGTCATGAGGAGGTTCAATTATCTTGCAAATAACTGGTGGTCTTTTTTTTTATGGAGAGTATCCTCCTGGTAATCTCATAGGTTCTTTATGGACTAATCCAGAGTTCGAGACGGGTCCAGGATTGAACACATGCTCTCATCCTCACCTGTTCAGTTCCCATGTGCCAACTAAGCTACCATCATTTGATTGGTGTTGTCAGTCATACTTAAAAGAGAGCTTAATCATATGAAAGTACATTTGTCTTGGAACTGATATGGTCATTGGTTCAAGGAAATGTTATCTGACTCTTCTCACTATGCATATTCTATGATGGGTAGCATAATGGAGTACCGAAGATAAAATGAGAAGTGCATAAATGCTCAACTAATACAATTTCAGTGACCTTTACTAAGGTCTCTGAAACACAATACTGGGGAAGACTAGTCTCTATTTCTCACGTTGAAAAGATAATGTTAGTGATATGGTTCAAGTAAAAATATAGGATAGCATAGCTTTTGCAGAACCACTTTAGCGTGTGACATTTTATTACTTTGCACAAATCTGCTGTCATAGTCAAAACTAATAGTTTGAAACGTGATAACAGCAGGTATTATATTAATATCTGTTATTCAAGGTTTTAAGACAGTGATAATTAACGGTACTTTATTTAGTATAAACAAAGCATACCTTAGTTGCATGGTAAAATCTATCTACTATGATAACTGCAATACTTTCTCTATGGTTCTGTACATTCAACCAAAAAAGAGGCATTCATATGTGAGTAACTAAATAACTAAATGAGTCAAGAGATAAATTTTTTTTTTTTTGGAAATATTCCGATCGGTTCATTGGTTCGTAACTAATCCGATTCAAATTAGATCCTAGACCTATAGCACAAAACACACTGTATGTATGCGAGCAGGTTCCATTGCATTTATCTCATTTCCTAATGGAACAAGATTATAAACCACAAAAGCACTATAAAGGACATAAAAAAAACGAATGATATTTGCTGAATATCAATTGTTGCCTCTAGTTGCTAGTGTCAATATGTAACCTTAAAATGAGCATGGATAATAAATTTGATGATATAGTCAAGATTTGCTAAAGTAAGTATTGTTAGTTGAAAGCAATAAAACTACATGAAATAGCAGCTAGATTCCTGCAGCAGCTATTCAAAGCTATATATTAGGTAAACCAACAGCAAATAAAAGCTTTTAAGTAGTATCCTGATTTGGTAAACTATATGACCATACAAAAGAAGTTCAAAAATATTACAAAATGAATCATAACGAGAAATACTGAACTTTTGTTGCATAAATGGCATCTTATTTATTGCCTGAAGTAAATGGTTAGCTTCTACAAAATGATGATACAATTATAAACCTTGGTTGTTAGTGCTGAGAAAAGTTGAAGGGTGTTAAAGAAGCTGGTATGGGTAGTTGCAACCGAAAGGTATTACTTTCCTATTATTGATAGTCTACTTACAAAGACAGTAAATGGTAATTCTACTGCACCATTAAATTATCTTCTAACCCCTGATTATTCAACAACAAATATAATATATATTAGAAGATATATAACATTAATGGGACTTGTCTACCCAAAAAAAAATAAAAAAATTAAGGGAAAAGTTAACAGATGTATCTGTGATTTGCTTCAGAATCACCTATGTCCATTTGATTTTTTTTATATCACATATGCCCTTGTGATTTGCAAAAGGGTATGTTTTTTTATCACATGTGCCCTATGATATTTTACTTTTTACAAACCACAAGGGTATATGTGATATAAAAAAACCAGAGAGGCATACGTGATTTTGAAACAAAGCACGGGAGTACACTTTTCTCAAAAATTAACTGTACTTATGCCATAACTCATTTTCCCTGACTCTCCCGGTTCACAAAAATGATATCTCTAATGCGGATTCATAAAATTTTGTGAGAGGGGGCAAAAATTTGAAAATTTACTCTAAATTAGGCAGGGCAACTCACTGTTAAGTTAATACATAGCCATATTTGAAGAATTTTCTAAATTTTCTTCGTACAAGAAGATAATTTTATATTCTATTACCTTTCTTTTAATAGAATTTAAGACAGAGATTTGATGAGTTCGAGGGGAGGCGATTGCCCCCGTGGTCCATCACTATCTGTTTGTCATCACTATGTTACATTCCTATAAGACCAAAAGGTGAACTTGAAACCGAAAATGGAATTATAAATGAAGAACAACGTCCAAAACTAAATATTGATGATATTCATTTGAGCTTGACACAATTACATAGATAGCAATTCGCTTCAATTATGATTATAATCCTCCTCACATGGTTTCTAAAACTGTTGATAAATTACGATATGAAAGGACAAAAAAAAAAGAAAAAAAAGAAAGAAGGAAAAGTCACAGTGTAGTTTGAAGCTGGCTTACTCTGAAAACATAAAAGAAGAAGATATTCCTATTGCATTTGCATCTACGTTGACTATAATCTCATTCTCCAGCTTCCGTGCCAGTCTAGCCCACTGTACCATCAGTCAAGTCACGTTTTCGTAGTAGCAATTGGAGAAATATAAAACCATTAGATAGCCTCTGGTCACGGGTTTGATATTCATCGTTTCCATTTTATTAATAAAAATTATTAAATATTATGGCAGTTTTTAATAAAGATAGGTTGTGCATGATATATTATCTATTCTTAAGTTCAATAAGCTCTCGTGTGATGGAATGTGTTAAAAAAATATAAATTACGTATTAAAAAAATATAAAGTCATTAATCTAACATCACTCAACAGCTTAAACTTTTACTTTGAATTGATTAATATTACAAAATATTTTAAGAAATACCATATATTCCTTATATTTGTCCAATAGAAATTAGACACCAACCCTAATATGTTATCATACCAGCACATAGGAGAGAGAGAAAAAAAAAACCCGCCATCAATGCTTTATTTATAATACAAGTATATCATTTTGAATAAAAGTAGTACCATTATAACGGATAAATCTTAAGCACTATTGTAGAACTGAGTGCCCATTAGTACTTCCATTCAAGTTTTCACAATTGTATTATTTTTTCCATGTCATCTTTCTTACATTGCACTAAAATTTTAATTTTAATTTTTTTTTTATTTTCACAAAAAATTTGGTGGTTCTTTTCATGTAACTCCCGCCACTCTTTTCCCCGGGTGATGCTATCTTTTTTCTCTCATTTCAAGTTCCACTACATTTTCTTTCATATTTCTTGCATCTTTTTTTCTTTTTCTTTTTGGGAAATAAGAGGAAATAAAGGCAAGAACTGGAAGAAAAAAACACTAAGAAACTTCATCCTAATTTCAGCTAATATTAGCTAGTATGGGGGAAACCATTCCAATGCAGTCCTTTGTGCGCAAGTCGTAGCAAGTCCCCGTGGGTGTTGACTGTTCTTCTAAACGGGGAGTCACTAGGAATTCTCGCTTATACTACGAAGCATTGTGAGGTGCTGTTACACTTGGCTTTATGTCATTTATTGAGGTTAACCTTGAAGGGACATTTATACTATCTGTTTGATGGTCGTTTGTTTTCTTCATAAGCAGATTGATCTGTGGAAAGAATCAACAATACATTTCGTCGCTCCATCCTCATATCATGTCATTGCATTTGGTCTTTTTGCTTCACCCACCAAAGTTTTGATATCTCTAGATTAGCTAAGCAATCTTCCATCTTCTTTCTCTGTTAATTCTCGCCCACTGAAGATTGACGCAGGGAACGAAATTCTCAACCAAATGGAAGTTCAGGTGCGTAAAGTATTAACTTATAGGAACATTCGACTATTATTGAAACATGCAAACAAGTATGTTTATTTTTTTTTGGCTTTATGGTTCTTGTTGCCAATTTTAAAAGGGTTCCTAAAATGCTATTAAACATCTAAAGAATTAGAGATTTTTTGGCTTTATGGTTCTTGTTCCCTTATCCTTTTTTTTAATATTCGAATTTTTTTTGGTTATTTGAGTTGCAGTTGTCATCTAGTGAAGTGAGTACTTCAGAAAGTGAACATGACGATGAACAAATAGAGATGCCATTGATTGTGACAAGAGAAGAAAATGGATATGAGCTAAAAATTAGAATGATGTTTTCATCTGAAGATGAAGCTTATAAGTTCTATAATGAATATGCTAAATTGACTATCTCACAGTATCGAAGATTAGCAGATAGGACCATAAGCCAAATAATATTTGTTTGTGGAAGAGAAGGATATAGAAGGTTGAAGGATCCTTCACACGTGAAGAAAGTAAAGAGGAGAGAAACAAGAATGGGTTGTCCAGCTATGATATGTTTTAAAATTTAGAGGGATAATTGGATTGTTTATAAATTCATTCCAGATCATAATCATGATCTTGTGAAATCATGCGCGCGAGCTATACTAAGATCCCAAAGACATGTTGATGAAGAACAAGATATGCTGGCATAAAACCATGTGGTATGTATTCATATTTTGTTGAAGTTGCCGGAGGAGCCCAAGATGTTGGATTTTTAAAACATGATTGTGATAATTTTTTACAAAGTAAAAGGAGCAACACTCTTGAAGCAGGAGATGCACAAAGTGTTATTAACCATTTCAAAAAATTACAAGCAAATGATCCATCCTTTTTCTACATAATGCAAGTTGATCGTGAAAATCGCATGACTAACTTTTTTGGGAGAGATGGCATATCAAGAACAAATTATAGTCACTTTGGAGATGTAGTCATTTTTTACACAACTTACCGAACAAACAAGTATAATATGACTTGTGCACCTTTCATTGGGGTAAATCATCATAAATAAAGTGTTCTCTTTGGTTGTGCTTTCTTGTTAAATGAGACAACAAAATCATTTTTTTTGCCTTTTTGAATCTTTTTTGGAAGCAATAGGTGGACTGCAACCTAAAATAATTTTTATTGATCAATGTCAAGCAATGACCAAAGCTATTAAGAGAGTTCTTCCTAAAGCTCAACATCGACTTTGTTTGTGGCATGTTAGCCAAAATGCTGCTAAACATCTTTCATATTATTTGAGACAACCTGACTTTAAGGTTCTATTTAATAGGTGTCTTTACAATTGTGAATCTGAGCAAGAGTTTGAAGAAGTGTGGGCACGTTTACTCACTAAAAGTAGACATTTCAAAATGTTCATGGTTGAAAAAATTCTATGAGTTACGGGAAAATTGGTGTTCAAGATTTAGTAAGAATTATTTTTGAGCTGGCATGTTATCAACACAAAGAAGTGAGAGTATGAATAATATTTTTCGTACAGTAACTTGTAAAGCAATGTCTCTTTCTCAATTTACTTCGTTATGAAAAAGTTTTGGAGCGTCGACATTGGTCAGAGTTGCAAAAAGACTTTGAATGCAATCAATATGCACCTCCTCAGGTAAAAAAACTTATAGGTATGACCGAACAAGCTACACAAGTCTATACTCTTGTGATTTTTGAAGAATTATTTGAAGAACTGTTTGAATTTTCATCTGTGGTCATTGAAAAAACCAACGAAAATGGTACTTACTTTGTTTACAAGTTGGTTAAATCTGGAGATGAAAAATAATATTTTGTGGCATTTGAATCTACAAATTGCTTGGTTGAATGTAGTTGTAAGAAGTTTGAATCTGTTCGTCTCTTATATCTTCATGTATTAAAGGTACTTAACTTTCACAATATTTTTCATATACCTTATCAATATATCTTTAAGAGGTGGACAAAAGATGCGAAAGATGGTTTTAATGTAAGTGATAGCATTCCACCCCAAGCTTGTGAGGTTTCAGCACAAAGAATTAATCTACGTATGAGCCAAATAATAAGGAAAGCCATTTATTTTGCAACCAAGGGTGCATTGACAAATGAATCAACCAAAATGGTTGAAGATCACCTAGAGCAAGGGATAAAAATGTTGGAGAGGATGTTCAAAAATACTAGTCTGGTTGACTGTTTCACTAGCAAACCTACTAAAGCCAATGATATGACTAGTGACGAAGAGAAAGATGAGCATAGCAAATTAAATTCAAAAAGGGTATTAGATCCGCAACGTGTTCGAGCAAAAAGAGTTACAAATGCTAGAATGAAAAGTCAACTAGAGATGAAAAGATGTAAGAAAAATATATCACAAGCTAGAAGCATATCTCAAAGCGTTATTACATCTAATCCATTATTGGTGTTTTTTTTTGTTACTAATGGTGCTTTTTTTGTAACTGGTGCAAGAGCTATTTTTTGCCGTTGGTGCTGTTTTTTTGTTAAGGAGAAAGTCTACATTTCTATTTACAGAACTGTTGTCAACCAAAGTTCTCAAAGTTAACTAGTGTATCTGGTATAAATAGTTCATATTGCAGACATTTAACACAAATATATATTTATTTTGGAGCTGATTATGGATTGATTTTGTGTGCAGTCATCAAATTTACTTTTATAACACATGTTTCAAGTAATTTCAAAAGGAAAAGAAGGAAAGAAATCAATTAGAGCATTAAAATAAATAGCAACTAAGGTTTGGAATTGATACTCAATCAAATTGTAGCTTGATATTGAACTGTACAATTACAAATGACATGACAATCCAAAAAACTAAAAAGAAGAAAGATAAAACTGCTTGACAAACAACTACTATCAAGTGAATTTTATCACATAATTCATTATACATTAGGATCGTTTGCACTAGCAACTCTTATTCATAAATTCTATTTCCTGCCGACCACAGCTCTACATTTGATCTGAAGAGACTTGGAAGCCTCAACAAGCTTGTCTGTCTCCATAAGCATCCTTTTGCTCTGTGACACCTTCTTGTAAAGATTTAACCATGTCTCTTTAACTCTGGAGACGTAAGCAAACATTTCAACTTTTTACCATCAATTTCATCTAGTCCAACTTTGATCTCAGAAAACTTTTGTTGCTTCTGTTCTGAAATTAGAGTTGATTAAATAAAATTCAGCAACCATAATTTAATGTGAAAGTAAATGATAAGCCTGAATAAATCTTCACGTCACATAAGCATGGTCAAGAAAACATTTGACACCCAGCACAGTAAATTAAATCCTCCATCTCCGCAGGAAAATTTATTTAAGAATTTATTTAACAAAGGGAACATATGACAAAAAATATTTCACTTGGGATCATCCAATTGCACTGCAACAACCAATAAACTTCACTCAAGTCCAAGAACGTGCCTAGTCCCACTTATATAATTAACTCAATCGATCAAAAATTGTTGATGTAGGATACTTCATCAAACCATATAGCTATAGAACGTTTAATAACACAAAATTATGATTTTCACTTGTTTTAGACACCTGTTGTCATTCAAATAATTTCTAGTAAAATAAATTTTGGATAATAATCCTTATTGTCTTGCTCATAGTCAATTCAACACCATCTAACAGACAATTTGAAAGAAGAGTAAAGCAATCAGCCAATCTAAGCATTTCATTTCATAATAGACAAACTATGATGTCTTCAAAATCAATCAAAACAATGAAGCTACAACAAAGGCAAAAAAAACACATAAAGGCAACACAAGACATCAAAGAACAATACAAAAAAAATAGGTGCAAAATGAAAAAGGGGTCCTTTGAAACTGAGTCAAACAACAAGAAAAGCTTCAATTTTTAAGGTACCTTGGTTAGAAGCAAGAGACAATGAACTGCATATGCGGGAGAGGTTAGCAGAGAGCTCGTAGTACTGGTGCTCATAACCTTTGATGAACTTGCTTATGGTGAGTATTTGGTGGACACCTTTTTTCATAAAAGAGAAGAGAATTGGAATTAGGAATCAGAAATAATAAAAACTCATTCGTGTAAGGTCATGGGTGCTTGATTTTACCTTACCTTGGATCGAATGGTGAGAGAGATCTAAACAAGATTGAGATTCTAGGAACAGTGAAAATCATGAGGATGAAAAAGGAAAGAACAAGTGCAAGTTTCTTTTTGCACTAGATGAATTGTAATTTCATAAAAACAGGGAATGTTCGCTTGGGATAAAAACAACCAATTAAAAGTAAAATAAAAATTAGGGATAAAAATTACCAGTGTAGATCAAGATTTTCCTACCAGCGTAGATCAAGATTTTCAAGCAGAGCCTCCTGGCAAAGATGGGTTTTCCGGCGAGCCTGTCAAGATCGAACTTGCTAAGGTGGAAGGTGGCAGCGAAAGGCTGCACCTAAGAGTTATAGAAGTTGTTGTGTGAAGGGATGAAGGGAACGATAGCTGATTGTAGAGGCATGCTGAAAATAAAAAATAAAAAAATTAAATTTTAGTGCCATGTAAGAAAGATGACATGGAAAATAATACAATTGTCAAAACTTGGATGGAAGTACTACTGAGCACTCGGTGCTACAGTAGTACTTAAGATTTATCCCATTATTAGGTTTCACAGCAGCACTAAAAATATTCTCCAACATCACCAATGTTTGTGGGTCCCACTACTCTCCTGATGGAACTGGAACTGTGAGCCATATTTCTTCAATCCCCAATCCCTAATGAATCTTTATTTATTTTGATGCCAATAAAATCGTTACAAAAATAATTGATTTACACATTTTTTTACAATAAAAATATAGTTGTAAAGAGTAAATATTTTAATTTATAAACTTGACAAAATTTATTTGTTTAACTTTAAAATGGTTTTAGTTGATTTTCCTTCTATTGATCTTGTTATTGTGCGTGGTTGTGATTGTAATGTTCTGGAAGAAAAACAGTATTGCTTTAAACAATTCATATTAATTTTAAGCTTCAAAACTAATCTCATGTTATGATTTATTTAAAAATATTTTAAAGCCCATTAATTTATTGATCTGGTTGTAAGAAACTTTAGTACATCTAATATTTGATTAGTGTGGTTGAATAAAATTAATATGAACCCGTTTGGTGCACCCGATGTGGAGAATATGATAGGATAATTTATTCTAGTGGGTTCTTATTTGCTATTTGGTGAGCCCAACAAAAAGGATAAAATTATCAGGTGAGTTCATTTTATCCTATCCACAGCTTGATAACTTATCCCAAGAGGGAACTTGGGTTAGGAACCAATAGGATAGGATAATAGAATTAATTACTCCCCCAACTCATCTCTTAAAATGAAAGCATCGTTCTCTTTGTCCAAACCCCCTTTTACAGTGTCTTTTGAATGCCTAAACCCCCTTTGAACTCCTAAATCAAATTTGCCCTAACAACCATGGGTTTCTATATAAGTATCCAACTAGCATGGTAGAAGGGGTATACCGATAGGGATAGCCACCTTCTGGAAGTATGCAAAGACCTTACGAGAATAAGAAGCATAGTTTACACATGTTGAATCTTTTACTTTCAAATTTTTCCCTTTACTCTTG